ATCTCAGTGGAGTACTTTAGAGCTCAGCGGTGCTGCCTGTACTGACAGCTCAACTGCCACTTCAGCTTGCGTGTCCCAACCGTGTCCTCCGCTTCGCACGCTCAATCACACCCAAGATGTCCATCCACGCAGCAGCTGACCTCTCGGACGCTGCGTTAGGCGGTCCAATTCGTATCAAGGACGAGTACTTCATCGACAACTACAACCGCGTCCTCTCCCTCCGCGGCCTAAACATCTCGGGTGCTTCTAAACTACCCACTGAGCCGAACGGCCTGTCTCACCTGGATCATGGCTTCTATGAGAACCATCGCATCGTCACTTTTGTGGGTAGGCCTTTTCCATTGGAAGATGCGCCGCTGCACTTTCGGCGTCTGCAGGCTTGGGGTATGCCCTTTGTGAGATTGCTTGTTACCTGGGAGTCAATTGGTCATGCTGGGCCAGACCCTGAGGACCTGGACACAGAGTATATCGACTACCTGCGCCAATTGATTGAACTCATGCCGGAGTATGGTATCAAGTGCTTTGTCTGTGCGCACCAAGATGTTTGGAGTAGGTACAGTGGTGGAAGTGGTGCGCCTGGTTGGACCTTTGAAGTTGTAGGTCTCGATATCGAGGCCTTCACCGATACAGGCGCTGCGTATGTCCACAGTCAAGATGAGAAGAAACGTGCGAGTGAACCACCAAATCCAAAAGAGCCAGGTGGTCCATTCTTGTGGCCTTCAGGTTACCAGAAGCTCGCTGCGTCGACAATGGCTACTCTCTTTTGGGCTGGTGATGCTTTAGCTCCCAATCTCAAATGTCGTCGCAAAAAGGACGCTGGTGATGAGGTATCAGCACAACAATTCCTTCAAGACGCCTGCGTTGAAGCCTTCGGTCGCCTTGCAGATGAAGTCAGTCATCTCGAAGCATGCATCGGCTTTGAACCTATGAACGAACCCCATCGCGGCCTGGTCAATCTTCATCATTTTCACTTCTGGAACTACGACACCGACTTACACATCGGCCACTGCCCATCCCTCGCACAGGCTCTCGCCCTTGGAAGTGGCTATGCCCAAGATGTCGATTACTATGTCAAAACATGGCCATTCCCAACTCGTGTATCTCACAAGTCTCGTATTGACCCCAAAGGTCGCTCTGCATGGCTGTCCCTCAATGATCAGCCTATCGGCCACGGTCGGGGAATGGGCGAATGCCTGTGGCGCGCCCATGGCGTCTGGGAGTGGGACGAAAAGAAGAAGACAGCGCGCATTCGCGATGATGATTACTTTGAAGTTGATCATCGACCGGGTCGCGAGGGAATGCCTATTGAGTGGTACAATGACTGCTATGCGCCTTTTTTGCAAAAGTTCACGGAGCGTGTGTCGCGCAAGAAAGCGAAGCAGTTTAGCTTCATTGAACCGGTCCCTAATGAGTTCATCCCGCCTTGGCCGACACAGGATCCTGACAACAAGAAATGGCTCCAGCAGAAGTATGCCGAGAAGGAAGTGATCAAGGTTCCACGCCCGAACAACTTCGTGTACGCGCCCCATTTCTACGATCTTAACGTCCTTTTTAACAAGAGTCACTCGTGGATGAGCGTCAACGTCCAAGGTCTCACGCGAGGCATGTTTGTCCTCAACGCGCTCTACTTTGGTGTCGGGGGGCTTCGACACAATTACAGAGCGCAGCTTGGCAACATTGTCAAGTACGGAAAGAAATCTCTGGGTAAAGTCCCCATGGTTATTGGTGAGATTGGCCTCTCGTACGATATCAACAAGGCAGAAGCTTTCCGCACAGGCTGCTACGACACGCAACGCCATTTGATGAACGGCTTGATCTCCGCAATGGAGGATAACAAGCTCAACTACACACTGTGGAACTACAACCCAAATAACAGAGTTGCATACGGCGACGGGTGGAACAATGAGGATTTCTCAGTCATCAATGGCGACGAGGTCAGCGAGAATGGCCCCGTACGACCTGACTACCGGAATCATCTTCACGAGCATGACGAGCTTTACAAAGGCGGTCGTATCCTCGACGTGATCATCAGACCATATGCTGTGAAAACAGCAGGTGTTCCCAAAAAGTCCAACTGGAACCATAAATCACTACGCTTCGAATATGAGTGGACCAGTACAGCGACCAAAGAACCTGTCGATGAGAAGACACACCTCACTGAGATTTTCATCCCGGGGTATCACTACGACGCACACAAGCTACGTGTCCAGGGAACGAACGTGGAATGGACGTTTGACAAGCCTCGTCAGACGCTATACGTGCGCAGTAGTTTGGCTGGGTACCACAGCATTATCGTGGCTATTGAGAATGAGGCACAGCATCTTCTTGAGAGGGGACGACGCCGAAGGGAGTTGTATCCTCCCCAATTCCCGTTCAACTTGGTTTCTACAGGTGTGGAGGACTTGATAGAGGATATTGACTGGTCTAAGATGTTTACATACTTGCCAGTTGTTATTGTTCTTTTGATCGCTTTTTTGATGAGTCCTTTGAGCTCGTGGTTGCCTTAGAGGTTAGAGCCTAGATTTTCCTGTAGACCTCAAGGGAATAGATTGGAGTAGAGTTAATAATGGATTAGACAGGATGTCTTTACACATAGACAATAAAAAACTGGCTGATAAGAATGGTGTGTCTTTGAACTTGGTTTGCTGAGCCTCATATCCCGTTGACATATGAACAATCAGCCAAGATTAAAACTAAGAGCGCGAGGGAAGCATAGAGAGTAATCACATGTTCAACGGATTCATTGTATTTTACTGTTATTATTCTTATATGCTAATTGTGATGGAATGGTGACCGCTAATATATCAAAAAGGACTTTTACTCTGCATCTAGAGGACATCTTGGTGCAGTGTTGTTAACCTGAATGCCTCCTCTCTTCTTCTCCTTGCTATCATGGAAAGGAAGAGCCCATCCGCCTTCGGTCTCGGGAGTAGAGAGCCATAGTCGAAGAAGATGTCTTCGAGGAACAGGAGGAAGATGGTCTATGTTATGTCAGTACTCTCGTACCCAGTATGATTGTTGGATGTGTTATTTTACCTGTGTATGCTGTTCGTGCATGGAGGAGATGTGTGTTGCTGACGAACTGAATATCTCCAACCTCAAGAATCATATGTAAAGCCAACTTCTGGCAAGTCTCCTCCAGCACAGTCATAGCATGCTTCTGCTCCTCACTTAGAGCAGGAATAAGACCCTTGTCAGAAAATCTTGTGAGAGATCTCACAAAGTAAGGATCCCACTTGCAGTAAACTCGACCCTGGCCACCGTTCTCAATGTAGAATATGGGGTTTCTAATCCACTCCTCCTCACCAACTGATGTCTCACCCTTGCGGTCAAAGTACCAGATTGGTTGTGTCAGAAGCTCAGCAACGTCGGGGTTGTTCTTCTGAAGATCGTTCCAGACATTGTGAATGCTGACAATATCACTCTCACCGCCCTCCTTGGCACGGTGGACGCAGAGAAGACCGACGATGTCGGAGTCGTCGGCATGGAAGTACTGACGGGCTGTTGTGCGGTAGATACGAACGCGGTCGATTTGTGTAGCATCATCGCCGACATCCTTGACGTGGCCGAGGACATGGCCCAGGCCGTTTTGGGAGACAAAGTAGCCGATGTATGTACCGAGACCCATGTAGGCTACTGCGTTCTTGAGAGGACCCCATTCTCCAGCTGGGAAGCGTTTGAAAAGGATGAATCCCTTGCCGTTGAGAAGGTCTTCTCGAAGAGTCTCGAGGACTTTACCCAAGTTTGGAAGAGGGAAGTTTGACTGGATATGTTAGTTTTGAAATTGGGTCATGATACTGTCATCATACCTTGGAGATACCAGTGAGGGGAGTACCACTGGCAATGAAAGCATCAGCTGTATCGCTCAACTCTTGAATCTCCTCATCGGTGAAAGGGCGAGTCCATCGCTCAGGTGAGTTCTCGTAGTCCTCCTTCTTCCAAAGCGTAGGACCAGTGATCTCCTTGGGGAACTCAGAGTAAGGCTTTAATGCGTCATAAAGAGGAGGATGTTGACCCGAGGTACGGATACCGTCGGGGAAGATTGAACGAGGGGCATCTGCGTTCTTGACTTGGGGGAGAGGAGTCTGAGAAGACTCGTCGATAAGAGCACCTGGAGCCATTGTATGTAATTGATGTAAAAACGCTATAAAGACAAGACAGCAATTCCAATTTGAGTAGTGAGTTAATTGACATCAATTGCTATCCTCGGCAATCATCTTATATATACCCTTTTCCCCAGGAATCTTCCGTTACCGGCCCCCGCAGTGTAATGACGCCTTTGTTGGTGTATTGCGTGCTCGAGCTACAATATCACGGAGTCGTACTCCCACCATCAGCGAAACAGGCTAAGCATGTCAGCGGCGAAACTAGCCAATCAGGGCCTGGAATTGGGGATGACGTTATTTTCGAGTGCTACGAATCTGGGGTTTTTGTTAATTGAGGTGGTACCAATTCAGTCTCACACGGTTTCTAGGTTCAGGGGAGATAATCGCGGTGTTGATTAGCCTTTGGAATTTCCTAATGAGGATAGAGGTTGCGATTGCGCCATTGCTTGGACGGACAAGTGCCGTTGTGGTGGCTTCGGGATTGTTAGTCACAATCAGATCAGATTTATCTTCTGACAGCTCGAGTTTGTTATCTGATGGGATTCACTCACTATCTTATCTGTTTAGTGAATTGAGGTGTTTCAGTGGTAATTGAAACGAGGTTTAACGAGCCTTCGAAAATGGTCACTATGTGTTCCAGCTCACATCTGTAATAGGCCGCATCTCAACGCCAGCGGAATTGGGAGCTATTTCACATAGGGAAATAAAGGTAGAGAATCTTTATACATTTCAAGTTCGGTTTCGCTATAACAGTGCAATACAATGTATGGCATGGTCCAGGCATTCTGCCGCTCGATGTAGTATTTTAGACTCGTCTACTTACCTTGTGTTTACTGCTCTAGACTCAACATAACTCTCTCACAGTTCTCCAGCCTCATACTATCAGTGATAGTCCTATATATACTCGCAGGCAGCAATGTGAAATCTAGTACGATGTCCGTCCGGAATGAGGTGGTGCACACGCTGGTTCCCCTGTCCCGGAACGTCCTTCTGCCACCCAGCACCATCCATACGAACTTTAACAAACCGCCTCCCGTTTCCCTCGAATATGACATCCGATACAGTAGCCCCAGGCTCTATAGGCCTACTTCGCTTCAAGCCGTAGTCGACAAGAAAGACTCGGCCAAGTGGTGCAAACCAGTCGACAAACTTCCACACAACTGGAAGAGCGTTCATGCGATGTAAAGGGCGTTTGATATCAATCAGAAATACATTTTCTGATCTTATAGCTCTATCAACCTTTTCCGTGAGGGCTCGGCCAGGATCAACGCCCATGGTGACGATTTCGTTTAGGGGATAGGAGACACGCACGAGATGGATGATATCTGCGTTCAAGATATTTGTGAGTCTAGCTGTGAGGGGATTATCAAAACATGATTCGAATGGCCCTTTGGTGCTCTTCTTTATAGCATCCCTGGACTCTCTGCATGCCCTCCACATGCCCCTGTCCTTTCCATTCTTCTCATATCCGTTTGTTGCCTCGCCTTTATGCCTCATGCACAGAGCATACTCTCTCTCGAGGATGAAATTAAGTGTCGACCTACCAATCGGTTGGGGGTCAGGGCCGTTGGATGAATGGTCATCTCCCAAAGGGTATACATGGACTGTATGGCGAGGCTGATCAAGAGCAAGTTCCCATATCATCAGTCGTAGTTCAATTGGCAGCTTGGGAAAGCTGGCGAAGATATCGGGCTGTCTGCGTTGTGGTACTGGAGAAGACATGATGTAGGGTCTTGGAGTTATTTCTCGATATTGGTAGCCCTTTAGGATTTTAAAAGATCACGGTTTTTTTATTATCTTATACTAATCTCAAGACTATTGAAGCACTGACGGACATGTGTCATTTGCAGGCAACCACAGAGAGATCATGGCCTTCATCATACACCTAACCTAGTCAATTTGCCTCTGTACAAAGGAATAGGGATTGAACTTAAGTCCAGTATCATGTAGAAATAAGAGCTGGACAGTATGTTCAGTTGCTCAACAGGTACTTCATTCTTTCGCGTTAACAGGGTGTTCATTGATGGAAGACGACTAAAGAAGAATATTTATGATTGTTCGTAATTTCAAGGCAGTTAATGCTGAAACAGAGAACACAACCACAGTATCCACGATCATAGCCAATGCCATCCGAATGAACCATGAGATTCAACTTCACGAGCTTGATTATATCATCAGATGTGCAGCCAAACAAGATACATTTGTTCTTCTTGTATGTTTGTGCCAACGGGCTTTCTTTCTGGCGGGCCACCTTAGTTTATCTCGCTGAGATATCTATGGAATTTACGAAGCTTCAATTCTTAGCCTTGTTTGCCATATCAATCAATGATAGGAGAAGCAGGATAGCAGTCCTTTGATAAGGATAATCGGTGATTGTTAAGATTACTATCAACTGTGTAACTTTGCTCCGGAGTACGGAGAGATAACGAGAGCGGATTTATCCTCGGAGCAGATAAGAAAGATAGGCGACCGCCGCGACCCGCTCTAACGATCAACCTCAGATAGCGATATAAAAGACAGACAAATCCCCTCGTCCTCACTTGAACAACAGACTCAATACCAAGACTCATCACAGGCTTGCTACAAGTGTTCGTCAAACAAAATCATCGCAATGGCGTCTCAAATAACAGTCACTCCCATCTCTCCATCAGCCGAGTCAACCATTGACTTTGGTGCCATCGTCTCAAACATTGACGTTGAAAACATCAGTGGTAAGATATAATAAGCATATTCGTGAATAATTGAAACAACGCATAGTGGGAGAATACCCGTAAAATCGGTAACCTCCTCTGGTAAGACACTTCTCTCATCAGCAATGAGCCCAGGCTGACTGTTTCCAGATGCCGACTTTGACGTAATCCGTGAAGCACTCTTCACCCACCAAGTTCTCGTCTTCAAGAACCAGAACCATCTTTCCCCCAAGGCCCAGTATGAGATTACTCAGCGCTTTGATCCCGAAGCTGCGGGCTCTTATGGCCATGGAAAGACCATTGACGCCAAGCGCTCAATCCTCCATCCTGATCTCAAGACCATCCCTCATCAGCCTCAAGTCCAAGTCATTGGAAATGGCTTCGTTGAGGAGTATGAAGGACTGAAGAACATTCAGCTCCGACATCCTCACCATCGCACATTCCACGCCACCACTATCCCTGATGAGAAGGATCTGGACTTCACCAGGTTCTACAGATGGCACATCGACGCCGCTCTGTACGGCCTCGCTCCTCCAGTGGTGACATCACTCCTCGCCGTCCGTGTTCCCGGAGGTCGCAAGCAGACTCTCGTTTATGATGACGGATCCAACGAGGAGTTGACCGTCCCGCTTGGTACTACAGCCTTTGTGTCGGGTTACGCTATGTACGACCGGCTTTCGCCTGAGGATAAGGAGTTCGTGCGTACCACAAAGGTTGAATACGCTCCTCATCCATATGTTTGGATGAGTGGTGCAAAGTCCCGCTCCGATGGTCTGGGCTTGGTCTCCGAAGGCAAAGAAATTCCCATCGAGAATCTTCCGCCTGTTGAGGAGGATAAGATCCAGATCCTTCCTATGTGCTGGCGTAACCCTGTCACGGGCCGATTAGCACTCCAGGTTCATCCGTCTGCTGTTCGAAAGTTGCACCTCGCCGATGGTACTGTGATCGATGATCTCGCTGCTGTTCGGGAGCGGGTCCACGAGCTTCAGCGCCCTGGCATTGCTCCCGAAAGGGTTTATCCTCATGATTGGGAGCAGGGAGATCTCGTTCTCTTTCATAATCGGGGCGTGATCCATTCAGTGGTCGGTGCTTTTGCGGAAGACGAGGTTAGATTGTTCCGACAGTGTAACATTGCTGGTAGTAAGCTGCCTGAAGGGCCAGTGGCTGTTGCAGTTGGTGCTTAGATGGTGCATGGTAGCTTGATAAGACAAGAAGGAGAAAGGCCCAATAGATACACATGGTTATTTAATGATAAGTTTGTTTGTTTATAACCCTTCTGAAACCAAGTTATTTGATATAATTAAACAAGCGACTGTCCACACTACCTGCAGGTTTGCCCAACATAAGGTTCTGTTTTTATTTATTCAACTTGATATACCTATCTTACTGAGATACTGGTAAATTTACATGACCCCTAAGTTCTAAGTCCTACATAAGTTTCCTCCAGAGTACATCCTCTAATTCTTTCTAGCCTTACCTGGTATGTGCCCTGGTCGGCTGATACTGCTTATGGACAGCTATCCTATACCAGAAGGTCTGCCAAGACCTCGGTTAGAGGAAGTGGCCTGTAATCACAGATAATATCACAACATTACCCCTCAGTATAAATTCCTTCTCGCAATCAATTATATCGAGCATCAGCCATACTCAGCAACCCCGGGCTTATCAGTATTCTCCAGGCAACATGTTGTATCTATCCAACGAAGATTTTACCAAAGGTAAGCAATGTTAACAACTGAAGCCTTGCACATCTCTAACCTCATAAAAGTCTTCTTCTATGCCTCCTTGGTACACCTAAGTCTTCTCATGACTGTTCATCATTTTAGTAGTCATTTCTCTCCTAGCTACGACAGTTCGGGGTCAGTTCAGAAGACGACTTCGGCCAAGTATAAATTAGCGGTCTTGTCATTCCTCTCCTTCTTGAACGCGGCACTTCTTATCGTTTGGGGTACCCTTGAGAGTACTCCTGCGTCTTTACAGACCCAGGTCTTCATTCTAGGATTGGTTATGTTATTTGCGTGGATCGTTATACAGTGTACTTTTATCGATATGCCGCCACCAGATAAGCCAAAGACTCGCTGATCCAAGCATGACTTTACCCTGCGGTCAGGCATACTTGTGGACGAGTTTCAATGGGTTGAATAGTCGAGTAATAGGCTCATTGGTATCTTACAATAGTAAAGCAATGCTATAGAGAAGAGATAATCCTTTCCGCGGTCCAATATATCAAGACTGGCCCATCCACTGTTTGATCTCTGATATTGCATCCCTAAACAACAAGTCCGCGTAGAACTCATGAAATTTGAACAAGAATCGTGGTCTCAGAGGCTTGTTTTGCACAGGATTGCAAGTCATGGACTCGTAGTGAATTTGCACGGTTTCTTCACTTTTCTCTTCCTTCGTCCTCACAACCACGAATCTGTGGACTCCAGCAAACACATCAGTGTCACTTCCAAAGCCAAAGTCGATGTGGCTCTCAGTGCGGTTTGGCGCAACTTTGATACCGATCTCAGTCTCAAGAACTTGAAAGACTCCGTATAGAATGGTGTTGACTGCAGGTAGTGAAACGTCGGGAAGTTCTGTGCATGACCACAACTTTCTGGGAGCCGGTCCTGATTCTAGTCATCTTGTTAACTACTGATTCGCATTAAGGAAAGGATAGGCTCACTTGAAAAGTTGACGAGTGTCATACCAAGAGTTGAAAGAGCAACTCGTTCCGGTCTAATCACAGCACCCCCAAAATATCCTTTGACGAACTTTGCCAACAAAACTTCATCAGATACATCACGATGTTCAGGTGGTACGTCGAGCGTGATGTATCGAGAATCAGAGTCGTACATGTGCTGTTTCTCGTTGACAACCTCGCTAACAGATCTCGATTTCTGGAATTTCTCTGGCACGGTCTTGAACCGCGTTATAAGATTCCGATCAACTCTGGATACACTCTTCTGGATCGAGTAGCCATAGACACCGCCAGCAGTGACTACAGCAACAAGTGACGTTGCCAGTATTTTCCGAGTTAGGCCTTGTAGTGCCATTGTAGTAAAGACGTAATGATGATCAGCAATGACTTAATCGCATGATCAAGACATTTGCCTCTATTTAAGACTGATAACGAATTGACTCATCGTATAAAATGCGAAAACTCGTGATTGATGCATGGGCCAGCTGACCTAGCGTGGCATGCCATTTAGCTGATAATGGCCTGAGTCCGGTTCTACCCGTCTTGTTAAAGCTCAGCGTCAGCTTTGGGAATGGTTTCGGATTCGCTTCTGGAGAATCGGGGCAGAGTTAAGCCGACTCTGAAGAAAGCGGCGCGACAAAGATGCATGAGATGATATGACGGGAGGTTCATTGTTCCGCTCATCGTTTTGTCGCGAGGATGCATGCCTTCTTGGCTTCAATTGAGAACAGATTTTATTGGTGGTTACATCGTGCAAGAAAGTTCACCAGGGTTGATTTAGAGTTCACTGGCCAATAGTGATCTGTAAATATGTCATCGAACGGGTATAAAATATTATTAGAAGAGTGTAAACATGGCGAGAGACGGTGGTGACGCCTTGTCCAGGTCCTGAATGATGCTGACCTAGGGACGCTAAAATTAACCTCGAGATCCTTCGTAACACTAATTTTGCGAAATAAAAGGCTCAGGTCAATAAAATAATTCCCTTGTTCTAGCTTGCTCCTCCCGTTATCAAGCCACAGCAAAGTACTTGCAGAACCAATGTCCAGACATTATATGAAGCGGTATTTAACTCTTGTCGTGCTTTCTTATCCTGCTGCGCCGTCTTTGGCAGATCTTTTTCGTCTTTCTTTGCCATTGCTGGTATTACTGGTAAAAGCCATTTGATGTCAGGTCGTTCCAATGAAGCATATTATTCTTAGGATACGTACGGACTTTTAGAGTGTCAGAGTCATGTAAATAGAGTGGATTTTCGAGCTAACATCGGGGTCTTGGTACACGGGAATTATTAGGAGATATGATTCTATAAAAGCAAGATTCCTGGTGGATTTAACTGTTTTCCCAAGCGAAGGAATGTGGCTGAGTTGGTGCTCACACCAGGTTTGCCATTGGTGGTATGACTGGGCGCAGCCAATCCTTCTTCAAAGCAAGGAATGCCAGTCAGATTACATTATCATGACGTTGTCAGATCTGATAAGATCGGTGTTCACCTGGAATTGTCAGATCACGAGCCAATACCACGGTTGCAGAGCACAATAGCTCCAACAGAAGTCTATATCCTACTAATCTAACTACCTTGCAAGTCTATATCTCGCAATTGAAACATAGTAAAAGAATGAAATACTCAATCAGAAGTTCAAAGCTTGATTGATGATAGCGCCCCATCCTCAAGTGTGACGCTTCTGCTTGCCGCACTTGGCGAGACACTCATCAACCTTGATGCCCATATCCGTAGGAATAGAAGCCCTGATCTTCTCAACATCCTCACCATCGACAGCCTCTCCCAAAAGACGAATAACAGCGTCATCCTTGATAGCAAACAGCCCGGGCGCAACACCAGCAAAGCCAATATCCTCGGAGGGGAATGCGGCGATGGCATTGGCGGCCTCGCAGTCGGGGTTAACCTGGTAGTGCTTGGTTCCCTGGTAGAAGATGGTAGCTTGACCAGCGCTGATCTCGTTGCGGATGACGCGAGGCTTTCCTTCGGCGTCGAGGACGCCGGCTTCGGGAACGGCCTCGGTGTAGACGCGGCCGGACATGACGGCAAAGAGCTCGGAGGCTCGGGGGTGAGTGTGAAGCATGATCATAGAGCAGCCTGTATGCAATGAGCATTCAAGGTTCAGAAGCGAGAAGGATGAGCAGATACCTGGAATTTGAGCGGAGGCCAGACTGAGGCCAGAGCCCGTAAGAGCAGGGAATGTCTGGCTGTTGGCAATAGCACTTGGGGTGCTGTTAAAGTTGAAGAGGAAGTCCTTGTCCTCGGGAAGAAGACTATAGCGATCAATGAAACTTTGATAGAAGTTAGCAATTACTTGACAAGAGAGTTCAGAGCCCATGACATACGTGTCGGCGAGTCGCAGCTTGGTAGTTAAGCTGACCTCAGAGGTCTTGCCCTGAGGAGCTGCAGCCGCGAAAGACGAGCAGGCCAAAATAGCAGCCGTAACAGAGATAATGGCGTTGGATAGCATTGCGATGATGTTGCTATTGAGATTGTTCAGCGAATGCAAAGTTGCGAAGGCGGTTGTGTTATTGGGAGTAAGATGTGTGAGGATGTTGAGCGATTGTTGCTTGGTCGGATTATCTTCAACAAGGACATCAAGTAGTTTATATACTCTAAACATTTAGGTACTCACATATAGATTCATTGTTCCTATACTAATCCCCAGCCTCGTCATGGCGTATCAGGGTCATCCGTAGCCGGACACTACCAGCCCTATCCGCAGATACGCAACTAACATGGAGATCGCCAGCTAACTCAATCTTGTTAAATTAAGCTTGACCTTGGCGTAAGCGCCAAAACTCCGACAGAGTAGTTTCATGGTCATCGATATTGCCGCGGTGGATTTGGTTGGCGTATGTCGTGGGTATGGCTGTCGTACTCCGGCGTATTCGAGCGTATACTCTAAGAAGCGATGCAACGGTGGATATGTACGTGACTAGGAAATTGAGGCGCATGATACTGTAGATTATACTCATGGTATATGCAGTCCATTATTACAAATCTTGAGATGCGATGTGAGTTACTGGCGGGCTCAATTGCTATGTTCTTGATCGTATTCGAGCTCCACAGCCCGATACCACCACCATCAATTCCAAATTGGTAACTGTTCACCCTTTTTGGAGAGCACTTTGCAAATATACAATTGCCAATGTAGAGTGGTATTATGAGAAGTTGTTTGTGAAGTCGGGAGACCACGACATGCCATATTCTATATAACCTCGATCATCCCCTCATCAACGACAAGACAACCTAGCACATCAAACATCTTAACAAAATGTTTACAACCAGCCTGAAGAATTCCGTTGCCCTTCTTCTGTTATCTACTTCCTCCGCTGTAGCACAGAATCCCTTCCCAGACACTACCACCTGCGACGAAATATGCCAGGGCGGAGCTCTCAACGCATCCTCCTTTATCTCAGAGCAACAGTCTGACCCAACATTCTCCTTCTACAAAACTCCTTCAAGTTTCTCTAACAAACTCTCTCCGGGTGTTGTGCTCAAGACAGAGGATGTCACTGACCTGAGCAACTACGTTGTCCCCAGCGGTCTGACCATGTCGCGAATCATCTACACCACTGAGGATCTTGATGGAAAGGTTATTCCCGCTTCAGCTTATGTCCTCTGGCCTTATGTTCCTTTCTCAGCCGGCTCAAACTCTGCTAAGGGAGGTCTGCCTATGGTTGCTTGGGCACATGGGACAACTGGTACCTTCAAACCCTGTGCTCCTAGTAGCTACAGAGCTTTGCAGTACCACTTCCAAGTTCCTTTTGCGCTGGCACTTCAGGGCATTGCAGTGGTTGCGCCCGACTATGCTGGTCTTGGTGTATCTGAGCTGCCCAATGGAGACACCATTCCTCATTCTTGGGTCACAGCGCCGGCTCACGCGAATGATGTTGCTTTTGCTGTGACTGCAGCTAGATCAGCGTTCCCGGATCTTCTAAGTTCTGACGGTTCTTTCGTCGCTATGGGTCACTCTCAAGGCGGCGGAGCATCTGTAAGTTAATGCCCTTCAATGCGCAGTATTCCCTGTGCTCAATCACTTATGGGCATAGTCTGGTGCCATCACAGTACTGACGCTGACTGTTTTCTCTAGTGGGCCTTCGCAGAAAGACAAGCCAAGAAGCCTCTCAAAGGATACAAAGGCACAGTCTCCATAGCGCCAGTGACTAGAATCCTAGATGACTATGCCTACTGGACCGAGAACTCGATCGCCTCACCAGGCCTACTTGCACAATCCGCAGTCATCGACTCAATCTCCAAGATCTACCCCAAATACAACTACACAGGCTTCACTTCTACAGGCTACGATCGCTGGCACAACGTGATTGCCAAGGTCAAGGGATGCTTCCCCGTGTTGGCCTTGGCGACAATGGATCTCGCCCCAACCGATATTGCGAAGTCGGGCTGGTATAAAGATCCGACTGCTAAGAAGTGGGCTGATCGAGTCGCTGTGGGACGAAAGACTTTCGCGGGTCCTTTGCTCGTTATCAACGGCGCAGATGACCATGTCGTTCGTCCTGGGGGCATTGACGCCGTTATTAAGGACACCTGCGATCTGGTGAAGAAGTCTGGCAATAAGGAAGCTTTAGAACATGCCACTTTCTCTGGTATGGATCACTTCTCTGCCATTCAGGCTAGCCAAATGAAGTGGATGGACTGGATCAAGAGTAGACTTTCCGGTAAGACCCTCGAGAAGGGTTGCACTGAAGAAATGGTTGAAGGACTGAGGACCAATGACACTGTTCATACACTGGGCCCGAACTTCTTCTTGTCGTACTTTGATACGGCAGAGAGTTGGAAATACAGTCTGTAAGGGAATGTAGCGGATGTACTAGATGTTTCAGTAGTTTCGAGACTATTCCTTTCGTTAGCTAGACTTGGATAAGTGCTGGACTGGATACGAGGAACGGGGCCACAGCGTGAAACAGATTGACAGGATGGAATATTACTGTGGATAGGGTCTAGAACAGATGAGATAGAGTACAAAGATAGCAGATCAGAGAATGTTACATGGCTGCATGCCTCAAGTGCTTCCCTCCGACGTATCCCTCGGCTGTATCAACAAACAATTTCCTCCCCTTGACATACGACACCATGAATGAGAACAGCTTCCAGTTCCCAATCTGACCCGTCGCATACTTCTTACCCAGTGCCACGAATATCATCTTCTTAGTCGCCGGCTGATACGGCTGGATATCCCCCTTTCCCGCCAAAGTCGCATCTAGAGCTGTCGCCAAGTGAATGACCTGATTGTCCGTGATGGTCAATTGCTTGGGGTCGATGTTGCCCACGTCGCCAATGCCCCATATGTTCTTTGTCCCGACGACTCTCATCTTTTCATCAAGCTTGATGTTTCCACCAGAATCTAAGAATGACCGGGGTACGAATGAGGTGTTGAGTTTGATGCCGTACAGAGGTAAATAGAGATCTGTGGTGCGGGTGCTTCCATTGGACAAGTGCACTTCTGTCCCTTGGCCTCTTTCGGCCTTCTTTGCTTCGGTGACGCGTGCATTATAGATGAGCTTGACCCCTAGGGTCTTGAGATCCCTTGAGATTGATGCACGAACTGAATCAAGGGCTCCTTCCAACGGTTGCTCACCACTAATAATAAGGGTGATGCTCTTGGAAGAGCCGTATCTTGCGGCCAATTCGCCAGCAACTTCAGTTCCAGTAGCGCCACCACCTGCGATTACTATTGACTTTGAGTCTCCGACTTGACTTTGTAGTTGCTTCCATGCTGAGATAGTATCTTGATGAGTTCCAAGAGGCTTTAGTGGAAGATCGCTAACCAGTCGAGACCCTGTCGCAATGACCAGCTCATCGTACCTAATCTCGCGCCTGGTGTTCTCATTGGAGATTACATGAACAGTACCCGATTCGGCATCGACTCCTTCTGCTTTTCCAAGGAGAAACTCAAAGTTTTCGGAGGGATACTGATTGAAGCCAGGCTTGATTGGTAGGAAGAGCTGCTCATCTGGGATGGCGTCCGGTATTATACCACGAGTAGCAGCGACGTTCCAGAAGAAGTGACTATTCGGGGATACAAGAATGACTTTGAGGTCGGGGATTTTGGGGAGTGTGTGTTTGAGAAGCTTGTGGGCGAGTGGAAGACTAGCCCAACCTGCACCTAGGATGACTACGGTTTTTGTCATGATGGCTGGTGATGCTGTTTAAATGATATGGAGGCGAAGGAGAGTAGGATAGTTTATCTCATTATCTTTAAGTACTGTAATCTCATTTATACAAACATACAGATGCTCGGGGTCGGTGATGGACATATGTTGGTGTTGAGGATGATGTTATCTAGAGGTACGTTTGTCTAGCCACAAACTACTCGCAAACCTATGTATCTTTGATAGTGCTGTCCGTCTCTCGCACTCGGTGGTGGATGCTCCGGTGACAGGGATCACGACCGAACGCCGTGTCCGAGAACGATGACGATCTCCCGATCCTTCGGCTCCCCTCACCAACAGCTTCAGTAAGCAAAGTGTACAATCTGTTATATCAATTGAGCCTCAAATACCGCGAATTTATTGTTTCCGTCTCCTGTTATACCAATATCTACCCGTTACCACCCTATACCTCTGTGTCTCTATCGGAGCTTATAACCCCCGATGGACCGATCTCTATCAACATCCCATCATGAGGTCACAACGAACCTCAAGATCTGGAGCTGTGTGACCTGCCGTCGACGCAAGATCCGCTGTGACAGAAAAGAGCCATGCAACAATTGTATAAAAAGTAATATTGAGTGCCATTTCCCCGTGACAGGTCGTATACCAAGACGAACTCGCGATGGCAAGACTCCAGCTCAGAAACAATCTGAATTGCTCAGTCGTCTTCGTCGTCTCGAGTCAGTCGTCACTGAACTCGCGGCGCAGGTTGAGGATGAAAATGGGGCCAAGACTATGGGTCAGATAACAGTGGATAAGGAGCCTACAGAGTCTTCTTGGGCTACGTCATCTGGCAGTTTGGATCATCAGACTTCGGAGTTTGATGAGGACTTTGGTAGGCTTATTGTTGACAAGGACGGTACTCTTCACGTTGGAAACCGCTTTTGGACTGTATTTTGCAGTGAGGTTGGTAGTTGACGCTCTAACAATGACCTAATACTAACAACTGACAGGTCGACAATATACTCCAAGCTGTACACGACGTTTCAGATATCTCGGAAACCTCAAGTAACTCAATCATGAAAGAGCCTACTGCTAATGGGGCTCCGGCTCCTCTCAGCCATCTTGGCTTTGTCTTTGGCAGCGCAGACTTTGCTAAAGCCTTAGATGGGCTCAACCCCATGCCCTCTCAGATGCTCTTTATATGGCAGACATATGTCGAGAATGTTGACCCTTTCATCAAGGTCCTTCATACTCCAACGATTGAGAACATTGTCAAACAATTAAAAGGCAACTTTAGCTCTTGTGGTCACAGTGTGGAAGCCCTGTTGTTTGCGATATGCTTAGCGGCCATTGCGTCCATGGACGAAGAGACAGTCTCGTTCAACTTCAACTCAACCAAGGAGCAACTACTGCAGCGATATCAATTCGGCACTGAACAGGCACTCGCTCGTGCCAATTTCCTTACTACAAAAGACATCACTGTCCTTCAAGCCCTGGTCATATACCTATCGCTGCTACCAAACATTGGGGCTCAAGATAAGGTATGGCCACTGACGGGTTTGCTCCTCAGGCTAGCAAAGTCAGTAGGCCTTCATCGCGAGGGCGACCCAAATCAGTATAATCAGCTTGAGAGGGAAGTAAGACGTAGGCTCTGGTGGCACATCTGCTTCATCGATTCCAGTAGTCGACGGGTGGACGCTCAAGACCTCTCAATCACCCCAGCATCCTTCAGCACAGGTCTCCCAACAAACTCAAACGATGTCGATCTAGACAGCCCAACCACTCGGATTCCAAATCCCAATCAAGGGTCAACAGGTGTGACACTCTGTCTCATACGCTGTGAGCTGTGGTATCTCACACAAGCCATCCGCGCCGATACAACCGACTCTCTAGAAACCCGTCTCGGCCTCTTCAACGCCCTGAGACAAAAGGTCGAGAAGACGTACTTTCAGCATCTGCAGCCTAATCAACAATGGGACTCCTTCATCAGGACGATGACAATTCTGTTCTTTGCCAAAGTTGAACTAGTCATCCGACGACGATCCAAAACTCTCCCTGCAGCAGATGAGCTATTGAACCCATCTATTACAGTTATCAAAGCGGTCCAGTCTCTCAAGTCAGAGCCCGCGTGGGTAAAGTGGCGTTGGCAGTTACAAGGACAAATGCCATGGCATGCAATGGGTGTCTATCTCCGTCAAGCATCTCAACTCCCTTGGACACGAGAACTAGAAGAAGCATGGGGTGCGACTACAGCTTTGAAAGAGGGAGTCACAGAAGAAATGAAGACGGGGCCACTATGGAAGTCTCTCATGCAGCTGTTCTCGGAGGCTGAGCAACATCGTGAAAAGGAGCTTAAGCGTCAAGGAACAAATGCCCAACATGCCCGAGAGAAGGGAGACCGCGTAAACTCTGATGTCCAGCAAATGCTCACCAACGCCGAGAACATGTCAAACGAGATCCCTGTTAATCATCCTCTAATTGATACCTCGACATTTGACTCGTCTCTGCATATATCTCCGCCAGCAGACAATGGAGCTCTCTCCGTGGAACGTCTGTCAACGAGTCTAGGTACAGCGACTGATGATCTTCCTTCTTGGGTTGAAGCAGGAGGTGACATGAACTTTGGTCAATGCCAAACCTTCGGAAACTCGTCCTCTGATGGAATGGCTGATGGGGTAGATTGGGAGGCCTTGATGGATCTAGATGAGACGTGGAACTGGGACTTCCTGTAGACCACTGTATATTCATTTGGCGGGCAATGGTGAACAAACTTGTTCATTCAGACTTTAGAAACTTTTAAGTATACGATAACAATAATTGCCTGTTTGCTCTTTGCATTCCTTGCATACGCTCATGAAAAAGACGAGCTCACTCAACCTGCCGAGTTCCGGCCTCTCCTTGCGATGCATTCCCATCTTCGATAGAGGGTCACAAAAGTTACCTTTTGTAGAGAGCTTAGAGGCTTATGAGCTGAGTTATCAAAAGCAAATTCTGCAGTGCTATCGACTCCTTAAAGTCCCTAGTTGGTTTCTTTTACGAGCCGTACAATGAACCGTCGCTGGTGACATTCCGCGACTTCAACATACCCATTTCCCACCGCACGCACTATTGAATGAGAGGGTCTGTCTCTGATCGGGATAGAAACATTTCTTTTGTTACTATGCGGCAAATCGGCACACAATTGTGGGCTTGGTAAGGTGCTATGTAGGACAGCCTGCAGCTTTACATCCCTTGGCTTGATACTCAGTGGCATCTGTAACACATCATTATCAACACTCAAACATTCAGAGATAATGCGACATGGAATATAAACAATTAAGAACACATCTAGTGCGTGATCTACTGCCAGGAACAGAGCGTTCCTGGATCCTTTGGTTGGATCTCAAAAGCCTTAACTTCATCAAAGTTACAACGTCGATATTCACATATCCAGGAACAATTCTCCACGCCCTATGGAACATCGGCACACTCGTCTATTACGTTTCGCAAGGTCCCAAAGCTATTCAGGGTCTCGAACAAATAGTGCAAGTGTAGTGCAAAACTGATACTCCTATTCACAGCGTTGCTAAATACCCCAGCTTCGTATTACGGAAATCGGAACGTCTAGCTCGGCAAGGGTTCAACCTTCTGGACCTCGAGTATCGTGACGGGCCAGGGGGTCCCGGCTAACGGCAACGACCTCATCGTTTGTCAAGGGAGTGACGATGATCGTACAGTTAATTACGTCGAGTCAAACGAAGACCGGTAGCTGAACTCTCAGCTGCTCAGCCTCAATCCTCATCAGGGCGACGACCCGCTGTCACAGGGCCGAGAACACGGTCAGTGATGTGCAGAATATCTAGAATGGGGTCTATACGAAGAGATCCCTTGGCACCATGTGGTTTTGACGCTTGACACAATATCCGCCTGTACGGATCAGTCTGCCGCCTTATCCCCAGGGTATGACGCTGAAGTATATATCATTCCATAAGAGGAGTTTCAGAATAATAGGATACAACTTCGTAATGATGGATACGGGCCATATTTCGGCAGCCGGCAGTGACGGCGGGATAGTGTCAATAGTTTACGATAGCTTATGACTGAACGGGAGTTAGCAGTGGGACTAGTGGGCAAAGTGTCGTATAGCAAGTCCTGATGTGATTCCAAGACTCGGCCGAAACTTGATACGAGGAATTGAAGGGTCGGCTTGTCTCGGCGGTTATAATTATCCTGTCAAGCAGACAGTCAAGTCTCGTCTCGTCTTGGAATGTCTTGTCATGATCAATAATGACGAATCTGAGACTCATTACCACGCGTACGGCTACATATCCGTACAATCGGTTCAGCGTTTGCTGTCCCTTGGAATGATTCAGAACGCCTCTGCCGGTTTCCCAGAGAACAAAGCAAACAATGATGCGACGGTCCAGAGGCTGAACCAAGATCTGTCGAGATATTCCCATGGAAACGTTGGATCGAAAGGTCAGATTCTTTCGCTCCCGCCGTAGGTGGTCACACCAGATCTGAGCGTCCTCCAATAGAAGGGCCAAGATATTTCTAGATGCTGCAAACAGTGGCGATTCGAGATAAATAAAGACACGAACCAACTGCTAGAGGGTCAGGCGTGAACGTTACTGGACAGGCTAGACAGGCTATATGCAAGCCACGGGAAGTTGCCAGGGCAGAATGCCACCCGAGTCTAAAAGGCCCTATCTCCGTCTGTACGCGCAAATGCAATTCAACAGAGTGTCACTATCAAGAGGGCATAACTGCATATGCATATATCCGCTATACACCGTTCCGGACATAGCGCGATCGGGCACTTGCACGTCCCCCCGTGCCAAGTCGCAGATGCCAAGAGGCCATTGCAGATTAGGTGCTCAGTCGACAAGTTTCACAATAACGGCTGCCAATTTGAGACCCTGCTAGCATCTCTGAACAATCGCAACAATCACACCGAGATTTCAACTCTGATCGTCATCGATAGGAATTTCCAACGCTAATATCTAAGCGCAACGCGCGACCGGACGATAAGGCTGTCGGATTGGACTGGATAGCTTGTGAAGCAACTGCAAGGAAAAGGGGGCGACGGATAAATTGGAGGCGGACCGTTGTTTAATGAAAAGAGGCACCAAAACGAATTAGTGGAACTTGTTCAGTGGATGGGCTCGGGAGGAAAGAAAACTCAGGACCTTAACCCTAAGTGATAGAAATATTGAGGTAAATTAGCCTAAGCTTAGGGGACTTTTGCTGAGTTTATTTTGACACTCTGCATTAGCGTCCGTTGTTTTCTTGCTCCCTAAGGTAGGGACGGGACAGTGCTGTAAGTTTCACGGTTAGAAGATATTCAGTGCACGTCTCAGCTTCCAAGAGCCGGGCTCTGTCACTTTTGGTGCCGAGACAAGACAAACGCAAGACAAGACATGGGCAGTATGAGACGAAAGCTGAGCACCGAAGCTCAAACATAGGCAGTCAAGTCATACCGCAATTACTCGAACTCAAGGGAAGCCTTGTCTTTTCCTCTCTGGATCTTAAGTCATCCTTGCAGGATATGACCATGCTGAGTATGTCTCCTGAATATCGCGGGAAGGAATGGAGTTGAAGTGACATGGAAGGATTGGGATTGTCATCTTTTGCGAAACGCCCTAGATCTGCAGGAATCCAGATTACTCCGCAGTAAGCAATTGGATAAGATGAAGGAATTGGCGCTTCTCGAGCCGTTATTTGGTTCGGTATGGCTCTGGATAGTCTTGCGTAGTGTCCTTTTTCTTTCCGACGCTTGTTGAGGGATTTGGGTATTGATCGTCGATTCTTGAGCCCTGACTTGGATGCTTCGAGAAAGAACCACAGCCTGGCTACGCATTCCAATGCAACCTTATTCTGACGAACACTGCGCATACAGTACCGTACTGTAGAATGGCTCTCCTCGGAGTCATATAAGGCTTTGGTTGTGAGGCTCTATTGAGTTTCGATGATAATTGAACTCAATTGAAGTATCGATTCACATGGCGCTGAATACGAGATTTTACTGGCCGAGCGAGGTCTCTAATCTCTGAGATCCAATGTGGCTTGCCGATTCTGAAGCCACGTTCTATTTGGGGTTCTGTTTCAAGCCTCCGACGCGATGTGTGTCATTGTGGGGAGATTGAATTGAAGAGCAATTGAGGCGATGCAAAAAATGAGGCAATTGCGAGGAATAGTCTGCATTACATTCCGAGTAAGCGCTTTGTCCGTGTTGAACATGTTCGTTCGCCTGGCATGTCTTGCTTATACTGTAGGGAGCAGGGAAAACCCTTGAGTTTGATGCAAAAGTTTGATGCAAGCTAATACCAAGCTTTTTTGTCTTTGGTAGGTCGCGAGCGCCTCCTACGCCTGCCGAGCCCCTGACGAGTTTGGGACGGTGTCCCCCGTAGAAACGCCCCCTGAGCATCTCATCAACTGGATGGTAGCCAAGAGATCCCTCAGCGTGGTAAAGACGAAAAAGCCCAGCTTTTTAATCGCTGGGCTCAATTGGAGTCAGCTACTGAAGCCACATGCGTTTTCAAAAGGGGCGGGAAGCGTCGAGATAGATAACCGCCCGAGAGTAAGCACAAAGCGGGCAAGGATAGGATTGAGGCGTAAATGCAGTTGCAATCATTTCCTTTTCTTACACTGTTCTGACGAAGACGAGAGTTTTTGGTAACAAGGCCCCGCTTGCGCGTCACCCTAAAGCCCCCTATCTCTCTTCCAAGTTCAAGCAAGTAACCTAAGCCCGCCCGTCCCAACCAACCAACCAACCTCCACTGAGACTAGACTTAACTTATCTTTTGAGGTGGCCTTCCTTTCTTCTTCTGCCTTAAGGCTTATCCCCCCCAGGAACCCCCCTCCTGTCCAACCTTTTCCTTGCCCTGTTTGTCTTGTCCCTCCTCGTCCCCTCGCAGCAAAAAATCTCTTGGCTCGAGCATTCAAGACTTGACCTGCATCGTCGGACTCGTTCTTTTTTTTCCCGCCGGTCGAGGGTTGTGATGATTTGATATTTCTCTCCTTCAACATCCATCCACTCGTTGCAATTTTACTTCGTATCCGACCGACCTAGACTGAGACTGGGACTGTACAGGTACAGACAAAGCCTCAAATAATCGCAAATCGCAACGCAAATCTCACATAATGGCTGTCGCTCTTCCGAGGCGATTTTACTCGCTACTCTGGGTCGCAGTACTCCTTGCGCTCGTTGTATTCTTCATCTTCCTCCGCGAAGACACCTGGTCTTCAATTCCTCGACCTCCTAGCGGCTGGAAGATTCCTTTCACCACAGACGATGGCGTTCTATCATCATGGATGGGCGGTAGCAAGAAGAAGGGTAAGGACCCCAAGGAGCCTCTGCGCATCATGCTCGTAGAGTCCTCGGGCACACACGACGAGGTCGCCGCTGCGCTCATGCACGCTTTCGGTAACCAGGAGGGCTCATCGCTCGACGTCTACTTCGCCAACCAGCGCTTCAACATGCAGGGCATCATGGCCAACTTCACCCTCGCTGCCAACGTCACCATCAACAAGTGGGACAAGTTCGCCAACGATGTCACCGAGAACCCCCCGCATATCCTCGTTTCTACCACCTGCGAGTTCGATCTCGACCGTGGCACCGATCCTATCGTCAACCTCCTCAAGACCGCAAACACCCATCTCTTCTGCACAATCCACCACGCTGATCGCTGGGCCCAGGGCAAGTACGTCCAGGCCGTCCGCAGCTGGGCAGAGCACGAGCGCGTCGACTTTG